GAAAGAAAGAGAGAGAAACATGAGGCTAAAAAACATCTTGGCACTGTGGTACATACCTGGAAGTTCAAGCCCAGTCTGGGCAAGATAGCAAGACCCTTTCTCAAAATATAAATAAACAAGCATGCACCTGTATAGAATGTTTACCATGAATGTAGAGTGCAAGGCTGGAAGCTGCTCTTGATAGCTGAGTGCTAAATGTTAAGTGCTAAGTGAGTACTGCAGACTACAAACACCGGGCACTTAGTCTAACCTAAGTGTATCTTAGTATTTTCTTCAATAATAAGCTAAGTAGCATACTATAACATTTTTTTATTTTATAAGCTTTTAAGTTTTTCAGTCTTTTGACTCCCTTATAATATTTAGCTACACACACACACACGCACGCACACACCAGCTGAACTGAGATGACCAACTGAAACCCCTCTGGGTTTATTCTAGACTCCTCACCTGCTGTTCACGTATGCACTCACCTTCTCGTTCTGCCTCACAGGTTTATGTGAAAATTCACATGGGACACAGGATAAAAGAAACATAACTTGAGACATTTTATTTCATTCAATTACAGGCTTATTCCCTTACTTAGTTCCCCGTTCTTTTCTTCCTTCAAATTCCTTTTCTCGTGTTCCCAATCTCTCACTACACTTTAAGACAAGCAAGAATGCTTTAAGACATTTTGTTAAATTTCTTTAAACTCTCTGAATTCTTTAAAAATTTCAGAAATTTTTCATGCTATCTTTACAAAGCAGTTTTGCACAGAGCATGATCAGGAGTGCCTACATACAATTTGGAAAAGATTCTAATTAAAATGTACATTAGAATGCCAAGTACCAGGGAAATAGGAAGCAACTAAGAAATTTAAGGAATTAACCTAAGACCACAAACAACAAACAAAAAAGAATATTGCAGAATACAGGGGAAAAAAAGGAAAGAAATTTAAGGAGTATAAAATTTATAAAACTTTTAATTCCATTTAAAATACAGAATAGAAATTATAAAGTTTTTTAATACATACTCCTGGAAAACAGTCAAGCCCCCTGTACACAGTGAGTTTGAGGCCTGCCTGAGTTACATAAGACCCCTCCACAAGCAAACAAACAAACAAAAATCCAACTTAAAAATAGTTATACATTTCTGGGAGTGGTGGCGCACACCTTTAATCCCAGCACTGGGAGGCAGAGGCAGGCAGAGGCAGGCAGATCTCTGTGAGTTCAAGGCCAGCCTGGTCTACCAGGCCAACTGGAGCTATAAGGAGACCCTGTCTCAAAAAGATTAAAAAGAAAAAAAAAAAAAAAAAAAAAAAGGTTCTACATTATATGCCAGGTGTGGTGGTACACACTTTTAATCCCAACACTTGGGAAGCAGAGGCAGGAGGATATGTGTGAGATCAAGGCCGCCCTGGTCTACATAATGCGTTCCCAGCCAGCTGGGGAACCATGTTCAAAAAATAAAAAAATTTTTGTTTCTTTTATTTTTACTTTATTATTTATTTATTTGTTTGTTCGTTTGCTTATTTATTTAATTATTGGTCTTTTTGAGAGTGCTGGGATTAAAGGCATACACCACCATGCCCAGCTTAAAATTTTGTATGTTTCCAAAAACTTTCTTCAATCACATTTATAGAAGGAATTTTCACACAAAAAGGTAAAGTTTGAGAGGCTGTGGAGCCTTTAAGCGATGGGGCCTGGCTGACAGAAGCAGGGTGTTAGGGGCTGGCTTTTGTAGGTTACAGGCAGCTGCATGGCTCTGCTTCCAGTCTAGGACTACGTGATGACCTGCCACTTCACATTCCAGCTGCTACAGGCAAAGCCACTCCTGCTGTCCCTTCCTCCAGATGAACTGAAACTCTGCAACTGTGAACTAAAATAAACCTTTTGGGGGCTGAAGAGAAGGGGTCAGTGGTAAGAACACTGGCTGCTCTTGGAGAGGACCCAGGTTCAATTCCCAGCACCACATGGCAGCTAATAACTATCTGTTACTCTAGTTCTAGGGGAATCCAACACCCTCTTCTGACCTCTGCAGGCGTTACATGAACATGGGTGCACTTACATACATGCATACATTACATTATGCAATACACATAAATTTTTCTCTTATTGGTTGTTCCTGTCAGGTATTCTGTCACAGCAATGGAAGTGACTAACACATCTGCTACTTCTTGCTGCCTTTAGTACTGCACATGCATTGTTAATGCCCAAGATAGTCTAGTATATATAACCTTTTCTTTTTAAATGTTTTCATTAATTCTTTGAGAGTTTCATACATGCATACAATATATCATGACCATATTTATCCCTCACTCCTCCCCTAGCCTCTCCCAGATCTACGACCCACCATAAAGTCCATTCCCAACTTACATCCTCTTTTTCTATTAACCCACTGAGTCCAACTTGTGTTGACCATATAGGCATCAGTACTGGACCATCCACTGAAGCATGGTCAACCTACCAGAGGGCCACACCCTTAAAGTAAACTGACTCTCACTCCCCTAGCAGCCATCAACTGTCAATAGCTCCTCAGCCAGGGTTGGGGGCTCATGAGCCTAGGTCCAAAAAGTATCTCTTTGACCAGGTCATTTCAAGCACTCCCAGGTAGATTTATTTTCTTCTTCCAAAGACTTTGCAACTTTATTAAAGTATTTACTTTTTCCCCCTAAGTTATATTTGGAACTATACCTTTCTCTCTGAGTTAGAGAAGCTGAAAAGTAAGAACTGCTTAGGACATGGTTGGTATTCAAGACACATTTAAATTGAAATATTGATTTTAATTTTTCCAAAGAATAGCTTCAAATAGGTATCACTTTATTACACAACAATACATGAACCTGCAAAGCCATAGAAGAGATAATCTTCTTCCTCTCACTTGACAGATTATAAATATTACATTATATTAACCAGTTAATATAAGTTCTGATAATTTACAGATGAAGAAACGAAAGGTTCCAAAAGACAAAATTAATTGTCCCAAACCTGACAGCTAGTAAGCAGCAGAGGTTAACTCAAATCCATGTCTGACTGATGTCAGGGCTCTGTGATCTGTCCTACTTCCACTGCCAGGATTTGCCCAAATAGTAACCACTAATGTATTCAGATGTTAATAACAATTTACAAACTTAGTGACAAATACTATCTGGTTTCAGTGATCTGCAGCTCACTACAGTACAATCTAGTACCTATACTACTGAACCACAACTGCAGCTCAAAAACGGAAGCCTCACTTACTTGCACAGTTCGCCTCCTGCCATGTGGTATTGAAAAACTCCGAGAGCATCACAACTACCTGCATCCTGTCTGCCATCAGGAGACTTCTGGCACAACTCTGACTCTCGGAAGTATTCTGTAACAAAAAAGTAGAAAGATTCAATCTGAGTATTTTTAGACTTTCCAAATAACTTGAGGTTAAAAAAAAAAGTCATAAAGATTAAAATTTTATGAACCACTTAAGATTCTGTCTGATATGATCAGATAATGACAACAGTAACAATAAAAAGTCAATAAAGCAATTAACTAACATTTATTGTCACAGGGTTCATTTGCAAGGGAAGAAATTGTTTGCTTCTTAAACAGTATTTGGTTTTTGTTTTGTTTTGTTTTGTTTGAGACAGGGTCTCCCTGTAGCCCCAGCTGACCTGGAGCTCACTAGGTAGATGAGGCTGGCCTCAAACTCACAGAGATCTGCATACCCCTGCCTCCCAAGTGCTGGGATTAAAGGCATGTGCTACCATGCATGGCATAAGTATTTGTTTTTAAAGTACAATTTCAACTTCTTTTTTTTCCTTTCTGTTTTAATTTCAACTTCTTAAGTCCAAGTTTCCTGTGTGGCACAGTTTCTCACTTTTTATGCAGAGGAAAATGACAGAACATGATAGTTTAGTTTGGTTTTCACTTTTGCTTCCTCTCCATTGTCTATATTTTTCTACAGTCAACATGTTATTTACAAAGTATTTTTAAACTGTGAATGATCACAAATCATTTGGTTTCTTCTTTCAGACAATTTTTTGTTCAAATTCTTATATTCTATAAGAAAAGTCGGTGACCCATTCTAGTTGTACCAAAAAGTTTGTACTTGAATAGAAAAACATACTTTCCACAGACCTTTTAATCATGAAAGAAACTCATGCTATGCAAGTAAGAAATCCAAGTTCTTTTTTTTTTTTTTCCTTCAGTCTTTTTGAGATAGAGTCTCCCTGTAGCTGCCTGGAACTCCCTCTGTAGATCACTATGTAGATGAGACTGGCCTTGAACTCACAGAGATCCCCCTCTGCCTCCCGAGTGCTGAGATTAAAGGTATGCACCACCATGCCCGGCAAATCCAAGTTCTTAAATGTCTCGAACCTTACCTATTTCCTTTCCGTGTTGCCTGCTGCAAGATACTAGGTTCTGATGACTTTCATTCTTTGAAAGCTATTTAACTCCTATTTATTAGGCACTACAAGAATTCTGGAGTTTTAAGGATATGAAAGTGTGAGAGAAAGCCATCAAAACTGTGGCTTCCAGAACCTGCCTACAAATACATAGACAAGGAATGACACACTCTGACACGGGAATGCCAGAGAACTAATCAGTCTATGGAGTAATAATAAAGAAAAGACAGAGGGAAGGAAGAATTCCTGCTTTAAAAGAGCATGTCATTCATTTGGGAAGCTCAGCCTCTTTGTACAGATCATTAAAAGATGCATCTAAAACTGTGCTTGCTTTTATATACATAAGTACACACATACATACATATCTATACTAATATATAGATATAAATATATTTGACACAGGGTCTCACTGTGCAGACAAGGCTGGCCTTGTACTCAGAGATTTGCCTGCCTCTGCCTCCTCAGTGCTTGGATTAAAGGTGTGTGCCACTATACCTGGCTTTGCTCTTTTTATTTTTTAAATAATTAATTTTGGGGGGTCTTTTTTGACAGGGTCTTCCTGTAGCCCCAGCTGGCCTGGAATGCAATATGTAGACCAGGCTGGTCTTGAACTTACAGATTCACTTGTCTCTGCCTTGAGAGTGCTAGGATTAAAGGCACGCACCACCATGTCCAGCTTTTATTTTTATTTTTAAAATATTTATTTGTTGTGTGCATGTGGCTTCAGAGGACAACCTATAGGAGTCAGTTCTCTCCTGTCACCAGGCAGGTCCCTGGGATCAAACTCAGGTTATCAGGCTTGATGACAAATGTCCTTCCCACTGAATGCTCTTGGGACCCTGGGTGCCTGCTTTTAAATAGTAACATTTCTTTAGTTCCTTTCTTGGAACTGCTTTCATGGAAAATTTTTTAAAATCTCATTTTTCAGCCGGGCATGGTAGTGCACACCTTTAATCCCAGCACTCAGGACGCAGAGGCAGGCAGATCCCTGTGAGTTGAAGGCCAGCCAGGTCTACATAATGAGTTCCAGGCCAGCTGGGGCAAAAAAAAAAGAAAAAGAAAAAAATCTTATTTTTTGTTTGTGTATGCGTATGTGTATGTATGTGTATCTAAGTGTGGGGTGTATTTGGGGTATGCAGTTGCGTGTACACAGGTGCATTTGTGCAGAGGCCAAAGAAGGACGCCAAACATCCTGCCCTATCACTCTGTCTTATTCCCTTAATACAGGGTCTCTGATCGAACCCGAAGCGAGGCTGCTGAATGGTGACCAACAAACATCAGCAGTCTTCTATATTACTCCCCATGATGGTGCGGTTATAGATGCACACAGCCATATCTGGGTTTTTACCTGCATGCCAAGGATTTGAACTCCGGTCCTCACGCTTGTGCAGCCAACACTCTTATCACTAAGCATCTCTTCAGCTCTTCTTTACTCTTTTGTTCTTGTTATTTGTGTGTTGCTCGGGATCAAACACAGGACCTCATGCATACTAGGCAACTGCTCAAACACTCAACTACGACCTCAGACCCATAATTTTTTTTTATTTTTTGAGACAGGATCTTGCTGTGTAGCCCTAAGCTAACCTCAAACTTGTGATTCTCTTGCGTCAACCTCCCAAGTGTTGACACTGCAAGTAGGCACCTTTATGTCTGCCTCCTTTATTAATTCTTAAGTGGAACTTGGCCAAGGAATCAGACAGGCCTGGGTTATGATGATCCAGGGCAGCTGGCCTAACTTCTCTAGAAGTCAATTTCATACTCAAAGGTCCTACAATTACTATACCAAATGAAATAATGCATGTTCATCAATGAGCACAATGCCTGGAGCATAGAAACTGATAAATGGTATTTCATCTAACTACCCTGCTGCCAACCCAAAGAGCTCTAGGAACATATATTTGGCTAAGTGTTAAATTGCAGTTAAATTGCATCTTCCTGCGTAGTTGACTGGCTACTTCAAAAATAACTACAGAGCCAGCAAGATGACTCAGAGGGTAAAGTTCTTGCTGTCAAGCCTAATGACTGGTGTTCAATTCCTGGATCCCACAGTGAAAGGAGAGAGTTGACCTGCAAGTTGTCCTCTGACCTCCACATACAGCCCATGGCATGTACACACACAATAAATAAATGCAATTTTTAAAAATCACTACAGTAAGCTGGGCATGGTGGTGTAGGCCTTTAATCCAAGCACTGGGAGGAAGAGGCAGGCAGATCCCTGTGAGTTCCAGGCCACCCTGGTCTACATAGAGAGTTCCAGGCTAGCTGAGGCTACAGAGAGACCGTCTCAAAAAGACCTGAAAAAAAAAATCACTGCTATATTACTCTGTATGTGGTAATTAATTCAGTTGAGGAATATATCCATGTAGTTGGGAGAAGTTGGGAGAATTTGGAAAGAGTTCATGAAGAAAAGCAGGATATGAACTAAGTCCTTTATTGGGAAAGGAAAAAGAACTCTAAGATAGAGTAAAATGGTCACTGGGTGAAAGTGGGGGTGACTGTGGTATGCAGGCACTGCAGTAGGCCATAGCAGCCAAGGCAGCAGATGCCCCCATGAAATGAGCATCATTAGAAGGGTAAGCTAGAGCAAGGTTGTGAGAGGTCCAAACAGCCAGATAATAGAAATGTTCTTTCTTTTGTTTTTTTAGGCAGTAGAATTTTCTTGAAGATTTTTCAGAAAGGTGATATGAAAAGCAGGTTTGGGGACCATACATATAAGTCATGCTATTTATAGAGTATGGAGGCAGGAAGACTAATTAGACCAGTTCCATAGTGTAGGTCTGAGGAAAAGATGCAGACAAAGTAGGGATGGGAAGAAGTGATGAACAGCCCACTGATGATATTTATTGAGTACATGATTCTCAGTGGTCCAAGAGCATTAGCCCACTTACTCCTCAACTCTATAAAATAGGTAGTGTTATCCTTCTGAATTCAAAGTCCCTTCTACTGCATGACCTTCAGTAAGCTAGTTAACCTCTCTGAGACCTGGCTCCTTTTTAAAAATGTATTTCTTTTTATTTTATGTGTATAAGTGTTTTGCTTGTATGTGTGTAAATGCACCATGTCATGAAATGCCTGTGGAGGCTACAAAAAGGCATCAGATCTCCTGGAACTGGAGTTATTGACAGTTGTTAGCCACCATGTAGGTGCTGGGAACCAAACTTGGGTCCTCTGCAAAAGCAGTGCTCTTAACCACTGAGCCATCTCTCTAGCCCGAGGCTTTGTTTCTTAAAACACAAAATCCCAGGGGCTGGAGAGTTGGCTCAGAGGTTAAGAGCACTGACTGCTCTTGCAGAGGACCTGGGCTCAGTTCCCAGCACACATACGGCAGCTGACAACCACCTTAACTTGGGTTCCAGGGACTCCAACACCCTCTTCTGACCTTTGAGGGCACTGCACAACACGGGTGCACTTACACACATGCAGGCAAGACACTCATACACATAACAAACAAACACACACTGCTCCTTGATTTATACTTGGCTATATTAATACCCTAATCTGTCATAACCATCTGGCAGAAGCCTAGCCATCACCAGCACAAGCATCTACTTTCATCACAACAGCATCTAAGAAGATGGATGCAGTCACAAGAAAGATACACACAGGCAGATTTTTTTCCACAACATACCTCACTTAATTAATGCATGCTCTCTCCTCTTTAGAACCATTTCAAAGCTCCACACTCCCTGAACCATACAAACAATCCCATTCCTTACCCTCTATAGAAGACCCAGCCTCCTACTTGGCAGACAAAAGCCATCATGCTGACTTGCTTAACTCCCACCAAAGCTCCCCTATCCTCTGGTTACAGTGGAGAAAGTGCTTCTCTGTCAAAGGCTCATCATTCTGTGGATGCCGTAGATCCTGCTGACTTCATCTTCCCTAGTCATTGGCCCTGTCTACTTCTCTACTCATTCACCTCCACAAGGGCCTCACCTTCTCCAGAGGACCCTTTCCATCAGCACTGGGTACA